GCACTATGGGGGTCACAAATACCGAAACAGAGACAGCATTTGTAAGGCTTGCTAGCGGAAATGGTTTCTAGCGTGCAAAGACACCAACTTCTGGAACCCGAGCCCCATCTCATGACGCTGGATTCTCCTCCCTTCGCGTGAAGAACCACGGGGAGTACAAAGCAAAACCAAATTCAGTCTGTGTCCTCTGCCAGTTTTCCCCAGCCGCCTGAGGGTCTTTGCTCTTTGAAACGGAGGGTATCTGTTCTTTAAAAGGAGTTGTTCACATGTCAACAAGTCAATCCGTGCAGCACAGGACAGATGCGGCGGATGGCCGCGGGGCTCGGGTTGGTGTGCAGGACATCCCCACAAGAGGAGGCGGCTCAGCAATAACCACAACAAAACCGACTGGCGGGGATTTGGGGAATGCCTTGGGTGTGGGATTCTCTCTGCTACTGAGGGAGCTGCCGCTTCCAGGCTTTCCCACCGCTTAGGGGGAGCCTGGCTGCTGGATCTCCTGGTGGAAAGGTAAAGGCTGTGACTTCCATGCTTTTCTGAGGGAGAAGGCTCACTCTAAATCCCAGAGGAGGAATGAAATGGAGTCTGGCATGGAGGGCTAAGCAGCTGCCTTTGAAATTCCATGTGTGTTGGCTTCTCTGTGCTGGTGGCTCCCCACTGCCATAGACACACACTCCTGGCTGCCTCCATAGCCAGATTAGGTGGGCCCTGCTCATTTCCAAAGGCTGGGAGGTCGGTCAGACAGTACCTGTGCAAACGCATCTGGCTTTGATAAGATCCTGATACTAGTATTCAAAAGCTCCAGCTCGCCCAAGAAAATGCAATCATTAGGCTCCCTTCTACCTCAAACCACCCTAGGAACAGAGCACGTGTTTGGACGTCACTGGGCTAAATCTATGTTTCTTACATGGCCGTTTTCTTTGTGTTCTCTCCTTCTCTCTGAAGTTTAAAGAGATGCTTGTTTTTCTTGCTAATTCTTTCCCTCGGGTGCTGATAGAGATCTCTGTAACATGAGGCCAGCTGGAGGAAATTCAAACTGGTTTCTAAATGTTGTTATGATAGAGTGCGGAGGACGTGTCTTTGAAGCTGCTGGGCTCAAGAGATGTTCCTGATTCAGGAGAAATGCAAGAGACAATTAAGCTGACTGGAGCCCTTACCTATAAAAACAGAAGCCACTTGCTGGTGTCACCCCACATTGGCCTCTGGGGAAAGGAGAATTTTAGTCATTGTTATTGAGTTGATGTTTCTCCATCCTGGGAGAACAGAGGCCGTGGGCAGAGCCGTGTTCTGTACAAGGGAGGCTGCAGGCTGGCTTTGCTCAAGCTAAGCAGTGCAGGTCAAGTGCAGATGTGTGCACTTGAATGTGAATCTAGTCTCTCTTACACAGCGTCTGCTTCTGCTCTGCTCCATCCATGGTCGCTCCCTCTCAGGCACCACCATTCAAAATTGATTCCAGAGGGGCCACAGAAAGGGAACAGGAACAAGTCCCATTCCTTGCTCAGATGCACAGTTCTTACATGTTGTGAGCTGACAAGCTTTTCTTTGCCTCCTTGACTGGCCCCAAAATATCTTTGCTTAAGGTGAAGTTGAAATCCTGGTCTCATGTCTGAAAGTTTCAGGTATTCTGGCCCAGTGCAGGGGCCTGCAGGGCCTAACACAGCCCTGACCGCTGGAGAAACTCTGATTGATCCATCCCTCTTTCTGCCAGAAAAGGGTCATTTCTGCCTGTCTACTTCCTAGTCCTTTCTGAAAGGGCTATCAACCTTCCTGCAGGCTGGGTTGATAATGCCCACACGACAGGGCTTCCACCGCGTCCCATGGGAGGGGGGTCCACAAGCTGCACATGTTGCTTATCAGGACCCCGGCAACACTAAAGAAGGCAGACAAAGAAAGAAACCCTCTAGAGAAGAGATATTCAGCCTAGTGTTTAGATTACTTTTGCTGATTCAGTCCTAGTTCAACTCCAAAGCTTACGAGGGAAAAAAAGCAAAAAAAAAAAAAAAAAAAGAAAGAAAGAAATCAAAAGGCTTCCCTTTGAGCCAGACTTTCAGAAAAGCCCTGCATTTTATAGAGTGCCGGCCCTGCTGGAAAATCTGGCTTCAGTCATGGCTACTGAGCCCTTACAAGTTTCTTCCTCAGCAGAGGAGAGACTTGACAGGACTCTGGCGTGGTGGGAGGCTGACAAACCCTCATGGAAGACATTTATAGCGCGTGGGGCCTGGGAATCAAAGTGAAGAGGCAGCCAAGAGAGCCGGAGGAAGTGGAAGGGAAGAAGCTGCACATGGGCTCTCTATCTGTGGAGGAGAATCTAGGTCTGTTCAGCTTTGCCTCCCTCCCCCTGCTTCCCTTTGTAGATATTTCCTGTGCAGACAGTTTCTATAGGCATTTCCTGGGAAGGTTGCACAGCCAAAGTTGCATTTTTATATCTTTTTTTTTTAACCGCACTTTGCTAAGTTAAGGGGTGTGTGAGGGGGGAGCACAGAGTACGACACTGAAGCAACTTTATCTGCTCAGACAAAGTGTAAGCAAGTAACCAGCCAACTCTAACAGACTCTACATCAAATCACACAATCTCTTAAAACATGCAATGGCAAAAGCATCACGCTGCCTATCTGGAGCTGGGCTCACTCGAGCTTTCCAGGGCTCCTCTCCCTAAACTCATGCCCTGCTTTTCCCAGGCTCTGAAGCAAATCCAGAGCATGGAAAAGACGGCGCCTCCAGCAGTCTCCCAGGCCTGGGTGCTGGGACGGTGACGCTGGACGCTTTACCCCGTGCTTCCACCTCCCTCTCTCTGCATCCACCTGCTTTCTCTTGCCTTTTCCATGCTGCTAATTATTTAGTTTGTTATTTTAAATGAGTTACTCAAGCAGGGGGATTCCAAGACCTGTAATTAACAAGACACGTGGAACAGGGTGAATATTCCCAGATAAGATCCAGGAAGGGCATTTAACATCACACTCCCCCTCGAGCCTCTTGAGACAAGTGAAAACAAGGAGCAGCAGCCCAGCCTGGGATGCCCATGGGTAACGCAAACCAAGGGAGTGTCCCGGAAAGAACATGAGAGATGAACATATCCTAGGAACGCCCAGGAACCGCCTGGGACAGGAACCACCCTGTCCTGAGCTGAGCACCAGTCTCCCCAAAACTCAGTGTGCTGAGCAGTTCTCAGTCCCATGCAGGCTGTGGTCCAGCAGCTTCCTGCCTACCCTGGACTGGCTGAGCATCCAGTGGATCTCGCTCCACTGAATCTGGCAAATCTCAGCACAGGGAACACGTAGCAGCCTCCGGAGTTGTCACCCTAGAAACCCAAAGAACAGAGCATATTTCAGAATAAAGGCAGCCCGAGTGCTGTCGGCTCTGCCTGTGTTTGTTTCTATGGAAAATTGTTACTTTAATGTGAGTCATGGGAGTAATTAAGGGATAAATAGCAGCGCTGCAGTTCGTCAACACCCTGATGCCATTGCAAAAGCAAGGGGAAGTGTACGCATTCCTACAGAGACACAAATCCAGTCTGGGCACTGGCAAAATAACCATTCCCATCCTTTGGGCTTTGGCAGTCTGCTCTGGGCTTAGTCAGACTGGTGTCAATCTGGAGCAGTCCTGCTGACATGATTTACTAGAGTATCAGTGAGACTGGGGTTGTAGCCATTCAATTTAAGTCAAGACACATAAAACAGAGCAACCAACATCACACAATGGTGGAAGTCCAGATGGCTGATATCTGCCATGCCAGCAAAGAAAACCACATTGCACTTTTACGTTTCTTTTTTCTTCCTTTAGGATGTGCTAAAGAGAAGAAAAAAAAAAAAAGAAAGAAAAAAAAGGCTTGCAAATATTCCCTCTATGACAAATGGGAAGGTTTTGCTTTACCCTCTGCATGCGATCACGAGGGCTGCACGGGGACAAGACAGGCAGCACAGCAAGCTGGAGTTGAGTTGTGCTTAAAGAGACCTGAACTCTCGGAGTGCTGAATCCAAATGCTGAAAAGCAAGAGCAGGAAGATGAACTTGCTCATCAGGGATCACTGCTACTTTTGAGACTAGATTTTATGCAGCACCGGCACTTGCCGGGGGCAAGGAGGGAGCCTCTGCCCCAGCCATCTGGCAGAAATAGGAACTTTCCAGGCTGGGCGGGGGGTAGAGGGTTTGTGGTGCTCCAAGGCTAGACCCTAATTAATCAACAGTTTGGAAAACATTTATTACAGCCCCACTGATGCCTTTGGACAGATCCATCTGGCATAAAGGAGCACTACTGGGACACAGCCAATTTACCTGGCTCTAGGGCTCTTTCCTCGGTGCTCAGGAGGCCATACAGTCTTGCAAGGGGGTGACTATGGCCTTCTCCTCCTGTCAGTCCTTTGGGGCTGCTGCAGGAGCAACAGCAGCTGCTTTGGAGCGTGATCTGAGGAAAGATTTGAAAAGAAGGGCCATGAGTGACCCGTATTTGCACCTGTCAATGTGGAATGACTGTTTCTTAGCTGAAATTCACACTGCAGCCTTGTCCTTAACTACTCCCTTCCCTTAGTCTTTGGAGATGATTTCAAGCAACTCAGTTTTCCACTTTCTAATAAGCAATTGAATGCCAAAGGGCAGCTCCTCTGCTGATGGCAACCAAAGCCAAGGGAGCTGTGACAGTTTGTGCCAGCTGAAGCTCTGCCTTCAAGTGAATGTTTTAAACTTTCCACTAAAGTGACTAAAATAAGCTGTAGTATGAAACACTAAGAGCAAAGAACGAGCTCTAGAGACTAGAAGGATTTAGAGAATGAAACAAAATCCATCTTGCTGGCATTTTCCGCCCTCCCCCCCATCTATTTTCGGAATTTAAAAAATTCCCCCAGATTTGTCTTTTACAGACCAGCCTTTTGTTCAGAGACCAGCAATGAGCAGCCTCCCCTTTCACACAGAGCAGGTGAGCTTTGGCAAGCCAACATACGAAATGCAGAGCTGGAAACTATTAATATCTTTTACTGCTGGAGTACTGCAGAGCTTGGCGCAGGTGCTATTTGTTTTCTTTAACAGGCTTCTCAGCTATGCAGTTTGCAATCAAATCCTGGAAGAGCAAGAAGATCTCTAGTTAGCAAGCAAGTTGTGATCACCCCGATTTCTCTTTGTTTTTCTATGATACTCTCTGCAACTCTGTTTTTTACTGGGGAATTACAGCACTGCTGTGAGCCTGTTGCCACGCTGGGTGTGTTTATAGGAAGGGGTGGGAAGCAGCTCATCAGACTCCAGGCAGACGCAGGAAACCTGGGCTCTAACTCCTGGCTGGGCTATTAAGCCTCAGTGGGACATCTGCATGTCACTTAAAGCCCAATTCTCCGGTTGGCGCGCAACACATTTTCCACTGACTTTAAACAGAGCAGGGAATCTTTGTTGCCTGTGAAAAATGAGCCTGTACACACTTCGGTCTTCCCATATTTAAAGTGAGGAGGAGAATATTTTGAGATCAATGGATAAGAACACCTGCGAGTGCTAATACCCATGTACCTTGCCAAGATACTGTGAGACTGAACAAATATTTTGAAGGGTTGAGAGTAAGATCTTGTGTGGCGGCTATAGGGCTGCTTTGTATGTCCATCATATATTTTTCTCCCTCTTATTATTTTTTTCCTCCACAAACGGGAGAAATCAGGATAGGAAGGTCCTAAGGCACATGCCCTGCTTTGGTTGCAGCCACATGGATTTGCTTTGTGAAAACCAAACTAAGAGCAAGTGCCCAACTCCTTACTGGATCTCAGTGAAGGAGCACTGAGCTGAAGAGAAAGAGCATATCTGATTGTGCCCAGATATTAAATGGGAGATCCCATCGATGCAGTGGGAATTCTGGGTCCAGTTTTGGGATAGTGCATTTTAGGAAAGATAATCAACATGCCGGAATGTGCATATAGAGACTAAAACGCATGATAAAGAGGTTTTGAAAACACGACCTGTGAGGAAAGGTGGAAGTGAGTTTGTTTAGTCTAGAAGGGAGAAAAATGAAGGGAACACCATGATGGTTTTGCAGTACTTGCAAAGGCGACAGCAAAGGACTGATCTCCAGAATGCTGGGATGGGCAAGAAGAAAACAGTTTAATTCATAGCAAAGTTTTAGATGGGATTGTAGGAAAAGCCTTGTAAAGAGAAAACCCAAGGGATGGGGTTTTATAGGGAAATATCCATCACGGGAAGTTTTTAAGACCAGGCTGTAGCAATTCCTATGCAAACATGGGCACGTTATGAAGTGCAACAGGGATGTTTGCAGGAGCAGAGGCAACAGCTCAGGGTCAGTAAGGGTGGACGGCCACTTACACAAAGCAGTTCTGAAAGGCGCCCAGGCGTAACAGCCTTGAACACTGAAGCACTCCAGATCAAGCAAGCCTAACGGGGGTGGTGGTGACAAGCAGTGTTCCTGTCTCCAAAATTGCTTTCACACCTCATCTCTGTAGTGTAATGCATTATTTAAAAATCACTAATGACAAAGGCAATTTCCTAATACATTATCTGGCTGGGGTAGTGCAGCCTTAAGGGGATGCACTCTTTATCTCTGCGTAGTCTCTCTCTCTCTCACCTCCTGTGCCTGCAGAATAAAAATAGCAACTTTATGTATGTTTTTACACTCCTGGTCACTGGCTTGAAGCCCTGTACTCACAGCCCTGTCTCCTTGCAGCACAGGAACTGGATACTGCTGATCTGCAGGCTGGAGAAGGCTTGGTGTGGCACCTCACGTTCCCTGCTAGGACCAGCCATCCTCCCAACAATGTGTTCAACTGCTAGAATGGCAGAAATGCATCAAGTTGGTGGCTCCCACAGCCAGGGAATGGTCTGCAGACACACAGACAACGCAGGCCGTGCAGGCTCTAGGCTCTAACACAGCACTATGGGGATGCAGGAATTTGAAGCAAGCAGGAAGCTGTAGAAACCACTGGAGATTGACTGTCCCCATCTCACTATAAGGGCTCTTGTGTTGGGCTTCACTGCAGGGATGTCCCGTTAGTTCCTCCTCTTCCCCTCCTTTTTTTTTTTTTCCCCTTTTTGCCTAGGAAATCTCTTGTTAGGCAGGACTGAATGTCCTTGAAAGGACCAGCTATAACAAACAACCAGGGGCAGATCCCTGGCAAATGCTGCACAAGTCAGAGGTCACAGCTGGAAGCAGTTTTAGGGGAAATTCAAAATTACTGTCAAAAGCAGTTCTCTCTCATTTTAATTGTAATTGGTTAATCTCATTTTATTTGCCCTGCGGCTGAGGCTGTGAAGCTTAAGAAACTCTCGAGCCCCCCCTTTGCTCTCAGTTATCTTGGGAGCAATTCTGTTGACTTCAGCAAAGTTGCTTTGGATCTGTCCCTTGGGCCACCAAGACCAGAGGCCGTTGCTTGGAAAAGCCTTTAGCAAGGGAGAGAATAAATGGTGGCAGATAGTTGTTCCCCCTTTCGAAATGAAGACAGACAAGAGGTTTGGGCTAATTTAATCCTCCCAACAGCCAGAGCAGGGTGTCAAGGAACAGGATGGTTTTGTGCACATCGTTCTCATCCTTTCCGCACCTGGAGGGTGTGGAGGGACAGGCAGGTCTGGGTGCAGAGGGAAATATGCTGCCAGGATAACATCAGCTGAGGATATGCCCCATTAGAGCTGGAAAGTGGGAAAAGGTCAATGGGAGCAGTCTGTTCCTGTGAATATGTAATCTCCCTATCCGCCCCCCGCTCCGAGCTACTGGCAAATGCTCCACTAACAGGCTAAGCCTCTCTCCGCGGTATTTAGGGCAGCCTTTGCCTAGTGGTTTCTCATCAAAATGCAGAGCGAAGAAACCGTCTGGGATCCGCACGGCAAGACAGGCCTGCAGAGCTGGGTGATGCCTGAACAACGCGCGCCCTGCCCAGCAAGAGTTTGGCAAAGACCCGATCAAACACAGCAAGCAGCTGGTCCGTGGCCCCCGTCTCCCACCTTCTGCTCGGCACACGTGTGCAGTCACATGGAATTTGCTGCTTTGACTCGCAGGCAAGTCCAAAAGCTGTCGAACAGCGATCACATCTAACGCTACTCATCACCACCATCAATTGTTCTCCAAGTGAAACAGGCCACGTCGCCAAGCAAAATGCTTAGGAAGATATTTTTCCATTGGACACGCATCCAAAATAAATACAGGAAAGTCTCCTACTCCAAGTACTTCTCCTGGTTCCTTTTCGGTCTGGATCGTTAGTAAACCTGAGATACACACACAATAGCATGGGGCTGATGAAAGCCCACTTCAGCATCGTGCCCCAGTTTCCTCACAATTAATCCCCTTTGATAATCTCAACCTATGATAAAAACATCCCTTCAGCCTATCCAAACGTGCACATCTTCTCACAAGTTTCCTGGGAACATCCCTTGCTAGATGGGTGCTTTTTGCAGCTGGTCATTTGAGCCTCAAAGGTGGCTCTAATGGGAGCTTGCCATGGGAATGCCTGAATTCACTGTTAAGTCTCTGTCTGTCCTAACATGCCAGTTGTGATGAGCTGCAGCTTTAGGTTTTTCCTTCCAGGGAACATCACCTACCATCCTCGGGCCTAAATCCTGCCCGAGACCAAAGTCCAGGCAGCTCTGCCTTGATGTAGGATGAGAGGCAAGAAATTCTTCCTTCCCTGGGGGCTGGGAAGGAACTACAATCTCCTTGCTGCTGGAGGTGAGGGCCTGGTCCCTTCCTGCACCACCTCTCCCTGCACTCAGCTGCTGACCGAGGCTTCAGAGAGTCCTCGAGGCCTGTGGGGCCAGATCTGCTCTTTAAGGCTGAGCTTGGTTTTGCCAGTGTTTGAATCCAAACCACACAGAGTCTGCTAGCTGCACTGGGTCCCACCCAAATGGCCCAGGTTCACCCAAACCTCAACCCAAGACCTGGCCCAGGCTCTGCAAATACGAGCTTTCCCCTTTCTCTCTAGCTCTTTGCCCAAATCCCTGCCTGCAGCAGATGTCTTGGAGAACATGGCTCAGTTTGAGACCATAATGAAACCTAAGAAATGTTCACTAAACTCCAGTATCCCAGAGGTGGCAAAGGAAAATTACAGGCCTCAAGTTCCCAGCTTTTATGTATTGGCATCGCCCTCGAATGTGCTAAACACTGTGGGCAAGAACTGCTCTGGTTTGTAGGAAATCGGGCTCCCAGCCAATCACTTTTGCTTGATGGATTTTCTATTAAAACAGTGCCCAGCTCTGCACTGAAACTGCCCGTTTCAGTGCGACAAAACACATCACAAGAACTGGATGCTCTGAGCCTCGCAGGCACTCCAAGGGCTTCTGCATACACCCTCCCAGACCTGGTGTACCAGAAACCAGACTGAATAGTTATTCCTATGCCAAGTATTGGGCACTCCAGATCCTCTCCTGCAGATGACTGTACTTAACTGGAAGCCATTTCGTTAAGCCTGGCCTGGGTATGCAGTAAAGCCTTGCTCCTATTTTGCAACTAGTCTGGGAGCGTTTAGATATGAAACATGCCAGAAGCTGAAGCTAGGACTGTATCACAGCTTGTAGAAACAGTATTTCTCCTGTTTTAATTCTGAATGTAACACACTTTTGCCTGCCTTGGATCACTTCGTTTGTAAGAACACCTGGCCTATTTCTAACAAACTCTCATCTTGGCCACCCTAATTGAAAAAGGTGTCAGAGATCTCTACCCTCGGTCATTTCTCCTCCTGCTCCTTTTCTCTCCTGCCTGTTTACCGTGTAAACTCTCCTCCCATAGGACAGGGTCCCCTCTACAGTGTCCGTGGAGCCACCACCGACAGCCACTCTAGCATCTTCCTCACCCACAGCAGCAAGGCAGCAGTGCTGACCAGAGCCAGTGGTCACCACAGGCCTTCAGAGCAGCCACTTTGCCCGGTGTGGCTCTACCTGTCCCTCTTGCTCTGTTGGTACCAGTTTCCAGTACTCCCAGTTAGGTGATGCTCTGGTAGCTCTTTGGCCAACCTAGGTCTGCCCTGGTCAAGCTATGTCCTGGTGGGAGGCCTGGATGCCCATGGCACAAAGCGATGGTGACCTGCAAGAGAACTGAAGAGCTTCCACAAGAAGTTTGCCTATCAGCAAAGCTCCCAGCCCTGGGACATTCTTCTGTGCAAACACCCGCTAGTGTTGCCTGCATTTTGGGCAAGGGCTTTTTCCTCATCTCTAGTTCCACTGCTTGCTGCTGACATTTTAAGAGCACCAAGTCTGATCACACATGATAAGCTAGATCCAAAGCTCCTGAGGGCACAACTCCATCTTTCACCACTTGGCAGCCAGGGCTCGGAAAGCAGCTCAAGAGCTGTGCCTAGCTACGCAACAGCGACCGCAAAACCAAGAGGCTTCCCATAACCAGCAGTCACCAGCCAGACTGAACACACTGTTCAGACTGCTGTCTCACGAGCAGGGCTTAGTGATGGATTATGTTTCCATAAAAAGCTGCAGGAGGAGGTAGCAACTGCGATAGCGGCTGTGGTTGGTAGGAACTGGTCAAAGCTGCAAAGCAGGAGGTGGAGGGAAGAGGGGGCTGGAGCTGCTTCGTTAGTGCTGACACTACGACAAACTAGAGCTTGGAAGAAATTCGACTGGGTGTTTTATCCCCCTTCCTACCCTCAATCCGCCACATTTCTCATGGAACAAAAATCCTGTCTTTTGCCCAGCTCTACTTCTGGAGCACTAATCCTTCGGCTATGGTGGTAGATTAAGTCTCTGGCCCGGAAAAAGCTCTTCCAAGGCACAGTGAACATTTTGTTTGTTGGGGTCTAACCCATGTGCAGCTCACAGCTGCCATGGTTGTGAAATTGTGCTTTGTCTTTTCTTCTTTTTTTTTTTTTTCTCTTTTTCTTCCTTTTATTTCTAAGCAGCCCATATGAAACAAGGAAAACAGGGCTATTCAGAAGGACTGTTCTTAAAGGTCTGAAATTAAGCCCAGTATTTTCCTTGGCTTGCAGAGGAAAACAGTTACCTTGACTGAAACTTGGTAATGAAGACTGCAGATATGAGACTTTTACAGGTTGTGCTACACAAAACTTCACAGAGGGTTCTTTTTACCTTCTTCTTTCCCTTCTCTACCCAAAACTCTGCCCTAATACAGCTAAGGACCTATAATAACTTGTAGAGAAAGGAAGCTATGTCTCAGCTGTTGATGTCGTGAACCACTTTTTATTCTTTATGCTGACAAAAGGTTAATGAAACAGAACTGGCATTTCATCAAGGCCAGCACTGAAAATTAGGGACAGAGTTGCCATTAAAAATAACCAGATGCATGTGCTTCTTTCCCTGACACACCGGTCTTGAAATATCTCCCTCTTGGGTTGTACAGCTTCCAAGGAATAGCAGGAAATTGCAATTGTTATGCTGGCCAGAGAATGGATTTAATTTGTACTGTTTTATCCTCCCTGTTGGAAACTATCCTCTTTTTTCTTCCACACCAGTGAAAAAAGAAAAGGAAAAAAATCCAACAAAACCAATACATTTCTCTATAAAACTTCCATGCAGTTGGAGCATGGCCTACCACAAAGCATACGCACTTCCTCCACGAGAGGTGTGGGCTGCCTGCCTTCTGCATAGTTTCTTGCAGCACATTCATATATAGGTCATTCTAAATACAAATTTACCACACTTTAAACTTGGTTCAAAAGCCACTGGTTAGTTAGTTCCTCTAGTACCCAAAGTTAATGGGAAGGGTGTAGGTACAGAAAGGGCAGGTTAGGAGCACATAGCTGATGGTGATGTTGGTTCAACTGAAGGGCTGAGGAACCCTAATTCAGCCGCATTTGATCATGCCCCTGCACAAGACAGAGGTTTGCATTCATGTAAGTCATCTGCTTTCCTTAAACAGGTATAACTCTAGCTATACAAGTGGACCAACCTTTTTAAGAACAAATTACTGGCCTGGAAGATGACAAAGAAATGAAGCTTTACTAGGGCTCAGCAACATTAGACATTATTATTATTAGGAGGAATTTTGTACTCTTATGTCATCACAGTGAGAATATACTTGGCTCTGTTGGCAAGATGACTGTAGCGCCTGAGTTAGAGAGGCTTAGTGACTGCTCGTCAGCTCAGCTGCGGTATCACGCTCTGCCTGTTGGACATGCACGGTACAACGCATTAGCTCTGGGCTAAATTCAAGCACAGTGTGGTTACCCAGAGAAGAACTTGGCTTGAACCCATAGCCTAAACCTCTCCTTGCTTTAGAAAAGTACCTAGCAATGTTTATGGGCTTTGGCAGGGAGGGTTTAACAGCTTATCTGGCTCCAGAAGCACCATGAACCCCAACCTCGCTTGAACACCAAGGGTGGTTACTAGCTTAGAGATGTGCAGTCCAGCTGCGCCAAGCTCTGAAGCTGCTTCAGCAGCACAGTCTACACATCTTCACCAGAAATGGTTTATTAGCGACTCAAATCATCATAAGAATGCGGTGGTTCATTAACATCCCAAACCTAAGAGGTGTAAGGAGGTCAGCGAGAAGGACAGTGGCTCTGCAAGGAGGCCATAGGGATGCAGTGATGCTGAGGTGATCTGCCTGGAAGCAGATTAAAGGCAGCCAAGGAGGCAAGTGAATCACTCCTGCTGGGAGCCACCCCCCTTCTCAGTGATGACTGTAGCCAAGAGTCAAAATGACTCATGACAGCATCAGCTGGCAGTGCAAGAGGGGACTGGCAGAGCCCTCATCAACGCCATGAGCCATATCGAGTCCAACAGCAGCCCAAGGGCAGGAGAACTGCAGGCAGCAGCAAGTTTGCTGGGGCTGACCTTGCAAACACTGCTGGCTCACTATTTAAGCAGTCTCTGGCTAGCTCGTCCATCACCTTGAGCTGCATTCTGTCCTCCCCAGGAAGGAAGAGGCAAAGCTGTCTCACGATGCAGGCAGCTCTGCTCAGGGAACAGTTAATCCAGGGCTTTGCTACCTGTTGTGGTGCATGAAGGCCCCTCAGCTGCAGCTGGACACAGAGCCCCTTTCCCCAGTGCCAGAGCTGCAGTTGAAAGAGCTGTGCTAATGTCTAGGACAGCCCTAGCCAGGACCTCAGAAAAATAGGAAGCTCTGGGAGATGGGGCAGAGAGTAGGAAACTGTCAAACTCATTTACAGCACGTCCCAAAGGAATTTGTTTTCCTGCTATTTTTAAGTTAAAGAGGATCAAGTTTCATTGCAGGAAATAGTTCTCCTCCTCCTCCCTCCCACTCACCTTTCTTTTTTTCTTTTCTACAGCTCATGGGAAGAACAGTGCTTGCTCTCCCTGCCTCAGGCTTCCAAGAACCAGGCAGTTGAACTGCAACCAGAGCATTTGTTATCTGCAGCCAGGGAAATGAAAGAGGTTGAAAAAGAGATGTCTCTGTCTACAAACATTCAAAAACACTAACAAGACTTAAAACTTTTGGGTGTATGCAATGGGGATAGTTAGCCTAACCTGTCTCTTCAGTTAGGCTGAGRTTGTAACTGGGGTCTAAGAGGAGGTTTCTGTAAAGTTCCTGGAGCCAGTGCATTTGTATCCCTGCATGCTGCTCTGCTTTCCCCAATACAGCAAAGGCACCCAAAGATCTCAGAGAGGCTGCAAAACAACCTGCTCTTGAGAAATCTTTTTTTTATATTTATATGATCATCTACAACTTGCAGATTTGCAACAGCACTCAAATATAGGCCTAACTTTGCATCTCTGCCAAAAACAAATTCATTTGATCAGTGCAATGCTTTTAAAACCTCCCCATATCTGGGCTGTGCTAACATCATGACACATCYGTACCTGGTAGATCTGGAAGCTGGAGGGCTGCAAGGCGAGTTGTTCATACTCATGTCTGGGCAAGATGTGTGTAACCCATCAGACTAAAAGTCAGATTTCAATTCCCAGCCCATCTCCCAGGCTTTAAAGCAAAGGTCTGGCTAATGAACCCGTTGGAAACTTACCTTGGATATGGTGCTACCTTTTCCTCCTCAGAAGGCACAGCCCAGCAGCTCTCAGCCCTCCTTCTCCTGCTATCAGTCTGCTGATACCAACTAATTTTGTTCAACAGACACAAACTCGTCCTTCCCGCGTGGGGTTCAGGGCAAGGCACCGCTCAGCTCTGCTCCCTCCCTTGCAGTGACAAAATGCCTCTTTTGTAGGTGCCTCCACATGCCTGGTGGAAAACCTACTGGATACCTGCACAGTTGTATCAATAATCTCCTGTTTATTATTCCTCCTGACCCAGGGGTTTGCCATTAACTTTCTAGCACAGGCAATATTTTCCATTCATCTTTTTGCAGTCAGGTGTTTGCTCATTTGCAGCAGGGGCTTCAAGAGAGACAAAGCTACAATTGATGGGAAACAGGCTATGCTGCTGCCAAGACAGGTTTTCCTCAGGGATAATCAAAGCCTTAGAAATGGTGATAACAGCATCTTCCAATAGTGATTCTACACGCCTGCTGAAAAAGCCTTGCCTTTGCACAAAAAGATGCATCGTTGGATGTCTTTTTGACAGCCTTTGTTGGGCACCTTTCAGGTTCACATCCTTCTAGTACAGCCAGTCTTGGGTAAATAATTCCTTCCCACCCTACTGAAGCCCAAGGCCCATGCCCTCTGTGAACAGAGTGTTTATATATACATATATATATATGTGTGTGTGTGTGTAATTTTTTTTTATATATATATATCTCAAAGCTCAGGGCCTGATACTGTAATTCTGAACTATCACATGATGTTAGCATCATTTCAGGCAGATTAGAGCATGGCATTAAAGTGCAATACTCTTCCTTGGCAGCTTTGTGTATGAAGCAGGCCTTTTTCTAGAGCAGAAGTGTTCAAAGACAAGATGACCTACTTGGGAATAACTTCCTACAGCTCAAAGCATCATCAGGTGCTCAGCTCTTTTAGACTAGAAGACCTCTTGGGACTGTCTGATCTTATAAGAGCCACAATCCTAGCTAAAAGGAAGGGAAGCAGGATGCTTGGCTATGGTGGAAACGTGAAGCTCCGAGTACAGCACAAGACGCAGGGAAAACTAAAGAGATCAGATCAGAGTTTACAAAACAAATGCAGCTGGTGAGGGGAAGATGTGGATTAGAACAGACACAGAGCGAGAGGCCAGCTGGGAAACAGACCACAGCTATCTCGGAGGAAGACAGAGCTTTTCCAGCCCTCCCTCCCCAGCACTTTCACTGCAAAGTATCACAGGTTTTGAACTAGATTGCCCTCTTCTCCTCCTCCGCTTCGGCACGGACTGGCTGTCTGGGACATGATCTCAGCTCAGGTCCCACTAACTTCTCTCTGGAGGGGATGTACCCTGTCTCAGCAGGCTGTGAAACCCATGCACGTATGGAAAGCGGCCTAGGAGGAAAGGGAAGAACATTGCAGGTTTAGGGATGAGAAAAGGGGAAATGCTGCCACTGTTGTCAAGATATCTTCACTCAGAAGTTACTACTCTGTAAACACAGACCATTTTACCATTAGTAGACACAAGCAGGACCTCATCTACAAGCCCAAATGTCTTTCCATGAAGATTTCCAGCATGCAAAACCTCAGAAGATCCTTTTTGTCCTTGGACTATCACTGCAGCAGGAGTCTCTCCCAAGAAGGAATATCTTGGGTGGGTTCACAGCATTCTCTGACCTCAGGCACAACTTGCTTTATTTCTGTGTACAGGGGAAAGGCAGGTAGTGAGGARTTCAGATACTTCAGTTCAACACTCAGAGCATCTTCATGAGTCAGTGCAAACCCAGCTGGGGGACTGAGCAGACCAAGACATTTATACAGGCACTTGGGAGTTATTTGGGTATTTATCACTAACTAGCACATAGGTGACAACATACCTGTAAACATCACAGGCATAAAAATGGGATTTGTGTTTATTTGTATGCACAGTAGGTCTACACTGATAATGCTGTCTGGATTTGCAACTGTCTAGACAACGGGGAAAATTAGCATCATGAAACTGGATAGTTTTGTGAGGTGCCCAGCCAAATATCTGGGAAATATTTTTGTAACGGTTCTCCTTGGAGAGAGATACGAGCCTGAAGTGTCCATTAGAGATGTAGTTCTTTGGTCTTGCATTCCAGGATAAAAAGCTTTTCCACTGAGCTCGTTGGGCCTCATCTACCATGCTCTTCAGCCAGATGCTGGTTGCTACTGTGGAGGAAAACAAGCCTACAATACAGGCATGGCAAATGAGATCTTTGTGGGCTGGAGCTGCTGCTTTTCTGGCACGCAACAGGAATTTCATCCTGAAAACCAGAGGTTAGGATTGCATGAACAGAGTATTTTACCCCTAGAGACAAACAACTAAAGCCTCGTCTTGATCCAGCCTCTTTTATAGCCTACAAGAAAGTCCAAAATATTTGTAGGTACCAAGCTTTATCCACTACTCCCTTCAGGGTAAAAGTCTCAGAGAACAACAAAATTCTGTCACTCTGAGCCTTTAGCCTTCAGTATGATAACGCAAAGCCATTGGATCCATCTACATGCACAGAGACCTCTCCTCCTGGCTGAAGAGCATCGACAGCCTCTGTGAAACTCCCTGTGGCCACATTCCACTGCCGTGGCCTTGGTTCGAGTGCTGTTCCAGGTGGGCAGGTGTATACAGAGTGGGAAGCAGAGCTTGCCCTCTCTCAGGTGGACAAGGAGGTTCTTAGAGCCTCGCTGGTCCACCAGGAAAGAGAAAAAAACCTCAGCAGTCCTTGGGGCTCCCTATGCAAAGGCAACGCTGTGCCACACTGTGCCCTTCTCAGAAAGGCACCATGCTCTACAAAGCTAGATCCAGACTCAGAGGGGTATTTTCTCTAAATTTTTTTTTTTGCTTGCCACATTTTTTGATTTTTTTATTTTACGACCCTTGGAGCTAGTGACCAGTTGCAAAGAGCAAGCTGGGTCTAAATTTCACTGAGTTTCAGAACTTTTGGCTCAGAAAAAGCTTTCTCTCTAGTCCTCTGCCCCAACAAATTCTTGTAGGATAATGACATCAGCTAATTAAAACAAGAAATACAAGAGAAGCAATATATCATTGAGGGCAGAAAAGCAACGGTTCCAAAGCACATGTCCTACAAATGACTTGGGAAGACACATCAACACCTTTCATTGCTTCTGTGAAGAGCTTCAAAAACAAGAGAAAGGAGAAAGCGGACAACAGGCACCTCATTTTGTTAGCGCAAGGATATTATCTGTCTTCCCCTGGCAAGAACAGGCTGTCAATTCATCTGAGGACAGCAGAGTTGAGGTAGCAGCTCAATGTTATTGAYGATTGTCAGCCAGGGAACCCTTGGCTTGGTTTAGCTTGCGGGAAGCCTTGAAAAGCTACTTGGAGCTTTCAGTGGATGCGCTAGACAAACATACAGAATAATACTTGCAAGCCCAGGGCAGATTCCAGGCAAACATGGTGCTCAGGCTGGGGGCTTCGTCTTGTGCACAGCGGTGGGAGCTTCTTTCACGCTGTCAAAGACAACCAAGGAACTGAATGCAAAACACAAGGACCATTAGTGCAGAAGCTGAACCTGCCATCTCTATAAAAGCTTCCCTTTCACAGAGAAGTCCCATTTTCTTCTGTGAGGGGCTGTGTGATGTTTCCAGATGCTGTTCGGCATCAGCTGAAAGTGGCTTCTGGAACTAGACTATGTTTRCATGGAGTTTTGAAAGCAACAGACCTGGCTGGAGATGCCCAGTGAGGGGCTGTTTGCTGTAAAAGGTGGCAAGGGCCACGCTGATGCTATGCAGGAAAGTGGCAGAAGAACCAGTGTTTGCTTAGATATAGGCCTTGCCCTGATCTAACCATCGTTTCTGGTGGTCACAAAGATGCAATCAATACCTGCTCAAGACAGTTTATCACAGTTGTGCTGGTCTAGGTGAATTTGTTCCAACTCTGAGATGGTGGAAGCACAGGATAGGGAATYCTGGGCCCTTTGAACAGATGTCATGAAAATAGGATTCCAAAACACTCCTTAGAGGTCCAAAGACTGATTAAACTATGGTCAGTGGGGACACTCAGTCCCCAGTGCTGAGCACTTGGTGGGTGTACTTGGATGCCTCAGTCAAAACCCATTTCTGAGCTCCCCAACTGGTGCTGATTTTGGGTGAAATGCACCTAACACTGCGACAACACGAGGCAAAGCAGCACCCGCTGCAGCACCAGCAAAAACACAGCCTCAACACAGAAGCCAGGCCAGAAGCAAAAACAGGCAAATCCAATCCAATGCTGAACTGGCTTGCAAGCTTTGAGGTTAGCTCAAGGGTCCAAAAATGCTTTATTTTACCTAAATTGTAACATTTGATTATTTTTTCTTTCKGGAAAACGCAAAAGAGCTGGGTGAGGGAGAGAAAACCAAAAAGAAACAAATGAACAAAAAAACCCCACACAGCCACAGAAAGGGGAGACAAGGATTAGTCCCTGCACGCTCAGCTTTTTAAACAGAAGGACAATTTTGCTCTGGAGATGAGTGCAGAACCAGCTCGGAGAATAAAAGCCTCTGTCCCTTAACTTATATCAGAGAAAGATGGTATTTGAATACCCATTTCAGATACCACTGAAAGAATTTTCTACCTGTGACAAAATAACAGCACCAGAACRTTAACGTTTTTGTGCTAGATTTTGTTGCTGTTTGACTGTTCTGAGCTATTTCGTTACCCCCATCCATCACAGCACTGACTGGCTCTTTTTTTTTTTTTCTCCTTTTTCTCCCCCTCTAGTTTTTGTAGAGCTAATCTTTTAAGTTTTGTGAAGTTGATCTTGGCTCATGGCACACACCCCACATCTGTTTTTTCAGGTCTTACCAGTTGACTCGGAGTGATTGCATTTTAATTTCATCCCCCCGTTGCTACCATCAAGTTTAAACACAAAACACTCCCACCACCACCAAGCATACATGCGAGGGCATGTGTCCCCTCGCCTCTTGGTACTGAATCGGAAAGGTTACTTGTAAGAATTTCTGCTTATTTATTATTAAGATAAGGTGCAAGGTGACAAAGTAGGTTAAATACAGCTACTTTATGAGCGACTTTTCTGAGCCCTTCTTTAGGTTCTCATTCAAGATCCCTTCTGACACACTGTTAAAGATAAGGATGCATCCAGATCTGTGAGACTTGCCGTATTCTGCTGCTGGGCAAGCTGTTTATGCCACCTTTGAATCAAGGGCAGGTAAACTATCTGCCTCTGCTGTTGGGCAAGCTTCTAAAGACCCCAAGGAGAGCCTGCCTTGGGCAAAGACCTCACTCCTGTATGACCCAAAGTAGCCAGTGATCCAGCAGAACCAGTGGCAGGCACTGCAAGAGAGACAAGGCTTTCACGTGCAAGGTATTTACTGCAAAGCTTGGTYTCTTGAGATCCAGGTTTCCCCAAACTAAAACTTAAATTTTTAACCCCCTTGAAAAAAAAACAAACTTTAGCCTCCTAATGCCTTGCTATGTCTCAGAGCATTTGGAAAAGAAAAATGCCCATTTCAATAGGGTAACTGCTACACAGGGGTAAACTTAAGCAACAGCACATCTATTCAGCATGTAGTCAGTGAAGCTCTGCTGGAACTCTGCAAATTTATGACCTTAAGTTAAATTTGGCTACATATTTCTGGAGTGGATACGCTTTCTGCCACTCTGCTTCTGGTAAGACAGTTAATAAATACTTCTTTCAGCATCATCTTTCCTGCGGTATTTTGTTCATTCTAATTCTGCTACTAGGCAGAACTCAGAAATGCAGGAATGTGAAAGTTGGAGGAAATGTTTTGCCCCAATTGCAAAACACTAAATCTGGACTCCAGTACACATTTCCTTGGCTGCAGGAGTCCAACTCCAGAGGCTAACAGAAGATCCTGGGCTAAAGGCAACACTCCTGCTGCACAGCCTTCCTCACCTATCTCTGAGCATCGCAGAGGTCTGGCYACCTCTGCTGGCTTAACCCAAGAGTGAGTTGGCTACAGGGTCAAAACRGTGTGATATTTTAAGAGGGCGGGCGGGAAGGAGAAGTCACAGAAAAAAAAAAGTAGAGAAATTCTGAACTCTGCTCTTGGTAATTTAATTATTCTGGAGAAAGAACAATGAGGGAATGTTTTTTCTTAAGGGAAAACTCCTGTGATTTGTGGAAAAAAAAGGTAAAGCTTTTTAAACTTTTGCACAGAATAAGGTCTCTGGTTGCAATTAGGAAATATTAGCTCAGTCAAGCATGGAGAGCTCTTGCTTGCCAATGTCCGAATCTTGTTTAGTCCAGAGAATCTACTCAGTTGCCAGGTGACTGTCTGCTATGCATGACAATAATTTTTGATATATGAGAAGCAGATACACAATACAAATTCAAACTACCCAAAACAACTGTAAGAAGTTTTACCTCCTAAACCTGTGCTAGAATTATGCCACACTTGCAAGTACAGTCCTCAAAATTGTTACAACAACTTAGCAAAGAGAAACACCACAAATTGGGTCTGAAAGCCTCACAATTGCAAGGGTAGAAATATGCTAGTCTAGCAGCATCAGTCCTGCTGTCTGCACTAGCATGGAGCTTGCCTGTAGTTTTCTTTGCCCCAGGATCCACTGTACACATCCCTCACACTTGCCAAGTTTGCCATGAACCCCAGCTATCCTATCCAGCAGGGAGTCAACCTATGAGCTACTGCTGATGGCCTGAGACTTTCAGCAAGGACATCCTGTCTAAGCTGCGTGTTGCTATTCCTTTTTCCCCATCGGAGGATGAAATAGCTCTACTGATGTGTCTATTCTCACCTGCATCGTGAATCATTTAAAACCACATTCTCACACACTGCTGTCCTCTAGCATTTACAACATCAGGGCATAAATCTTCTCCTTTAGCATAGGTAGCAAAACCTTGTGTTTTCTTGGAGCAAGGGGAACATGACTGAGATTCTTCCCTTGCCAYGCCACAGAGCCAAACTGCCGCGGCAGGCAACAAAACCAACAAATGCAGTCAAGTCAGTGGTATTATAATGTAATTAAGGACAGGAGGAACCCAAGACGAGCTGTCAGAACAACCTAAGACAGAATTCATTACTGCTGTAACCAAAAAGAAACAATTGATATGCCAGTTTCCACCCATAAATAGCAGTAGTTGAGATTGTGAGTTTATAAAAAGCTGAATGACTTACCATATGTTGCACTGGATGGTTTCGGTAGGAAGTCCACGAGGGATCAGTTAGGCAGCAATTTCTCCTGTTGAGACAAAAACTAAGAGGTGAAAACTGCCCTGCCAAATGCAGAAGATAAGCACAAAGACTCATTGTTTTAGAATACCAGGGGAGCACTAAGGAACAAAGCAAATACAGACTCGGGTGTTTACACTACTGCTTGTCTGCCTTTTTCAAAGTTGGGTGGAATGAAAAAACAATTTGCAGGGAGTTCAGGATTATTGCAAACATGCCAGACAGCCCTAGCAGCACAGTGAGATGTTTAACCTGTGAAGACAGCTCATTTCCAGGTAAAGGTCTCAGCTGTGCTCCAATGGCTTAAAGGCAGTAAGGAAAGACAGCTTGAGTAGTGAGGAGYTGGCTCTACCACATAACAGCTAGCCCTGGTCCCTGCTTTCCCCCTCCTACCTCATACACTGATACTCAATCCCCTTGACAAATCAGTGCTATTGTAATGGATAGGATTTTTAGAGACATGAAGTTGGGATGATGGATTGCAGAACAAGCCCTCTCACTGTGCACAGTGATGGGGCCGAGCAGAGACTCTCGGGAGAAGGGCTGAAATTCTCCTCTTACTAAGAAGAACGCAGAGCTTTCAACAGACCTTCTCAGTGAAACAATCTAGACCTTAACATCTTGCTCCTCCCTTGGGATCTAGAATATCTTCCAGGGCTGTACACACAGTCAACAACCATAGCATAGCGGTAGGGCTAGCAGGGATGTCCAGAGGTGGCCCATAACAGTCATCTACATCTGCTGTAAGCGTGGCCAGGACTCTCAGTACCTTCTGCCTTCACTTCTCCTCCCCTTTGCCTGCACTGGCTGCAGGATCTCTGGGCCACAGCTGATCTTTTACAAAGCACTTGCAGACAGCACTGCAACCCTTGCACCAGGGGTGCAGGTATCAGCCAGCACAGCAATAAAAGGAGACTTTTCCTCACAGTAGTTAGTCCTAATCTATCCTAGCAATAGATCATTCTGGGACACATCTCCATAATGCTTCCCAAGCTTATTAAAACAAACACAATGATGCTCCATGAGGCAGGTGTCCCTTCTTCCCAGCTCTATCTCACCATCTCCYGAAGGTCTCTACCCACAGTTAGAAGGCAGGAGGGAAGCCAACAGCATTTGCTTTGTGTGGTGTGGAAGGCTGAGAAAATTTGAAAGACAAATTATCCAAAATAAAAAGTRGAGCAAGAAGATTAGAAAACTATTGTGCCATGACTAGTAATGAAGCAATAGAAAGCATCCATCGCTCCCCAGCCTCTGAAACTTGCTGCGAGAGAAGAATTAGGAGATTTTATGTTCCAAGTACCAGGAAACCGCGGGGCCCTGGTGCCTAGTTCTCAAAAGAACACTGTTTGGATCACAGAGAGGAAAGCAGAGCGCTGGAGAGCGCCAAAGGCAGGGTTTAAAAATAGCAACCCTCAGTTCTGTTTCTTTTTTTCCTTCTTTTTAAGAGCMTGTATATTGGCTCACGTCAGATGGTGGATGGAGAGAGCAGACCMGCTCCTGCAGAGGGGACAAGTCTTGCTCAGTACTGTAGTGCTTAAGAGGTCAGGGCTGGGGGGATGTTCACTTTGCACTCCAGGTCATTCCCACCCAAGTCACTGCTTGCTCCCCATGATCCTGCTCTTCTCCCAGCCCAAGAGCAGCGGACATGGGAAACGGGAAACAAGCAGCTCAGCTGGCCAGTTCCATGTGTGCAGAAGCCAGAGGGCATGAGCAAAGCTAAGGGCTGAACGGGTGACTGAGTCTGCTCTTCTGGACACATATGGAGCCAGTATCATATAATACARAGGATACTCCTGAAATGCTGTGCAAGAATTGAGATTCACTCATGTCCTTGCGTTAAAGCTCTCTGACTATGCAGAAAGGAGTTTTCTGTTTCGATGCACTATACTGGCACATCTCAACCAAGAGCATGGACATCTGAGTTCTGATGCTCCTCAAATTTCTCCAGGACAACTCTGCACCCTTTGAGAGGCCAATAGGCAGGATTCACAGCCCCTACCAAAGCAATCTAAGGATTAACAGTCACAGTCTGCAAATTAAGAAAGTTTAAACATGACTGCTTGCAGAAGGTTAATTTAAATAGTCTTGTATGTCATAGAGCTGCTTTCCAAGAGACCCCAAATATCTTGTTTTCATTCATAAGGACAAAGATAGAACACGCTAGGATTGCTTTTACAGGTATACTGTCCTGCTCATCAACCAGGCTCGAAGGCTTTTAGAGGGTGAGAAAGCTTTTAAAGCACCACCCTGGTTGCAGTTCATGCACTGCTCACTCCCTCTACTTTAGCTTTGCAAGTGCAAAATGCTCCTTCAGCCCAGCTGGCCTGAGATTTTCCCCAGCTGAGCTCTCAGCAGAGATTACTAAGGCTGCTGACAAAAACAGTGTCCAAATGCCTTCTAATGCAACTCTAGTAGCAGAACTCTCAGCATATTGCCAACACAGGAATTTTTCATTAATGTTCTCCACTTTTCATAAGTTTCTGCCCTTACAGTAGATGGGGCTGGTTGGGACACAGCCAAACTTGCATCCCAGAACAGGGAGGCAATTCAGAAGGGCAGGACCTCATACAATCCCCTTCCTAAATAGGCATAGCAGCAGAGGGGGGAAATACGTGATTTTTCCTATGAGAAGAATATATACTAGGCACCATTAAAAAAGCAGCAAAAATCAAGATGAATTAACTTGACCAAGTACAGTAGAACTACTAATAATGTACAGGCAAAATGAAGCAATGTATCCTCTCATTCATGTCCGAGTTTAAGCTTCTTTTGGAGAACACTWGGGGAGGGTCTCTCCCCTCAGAGCAACACAACGTTGTATGTCCATCTGCTATAACATCTTCCCTGTACAGATCCCAGGATTTTCAAGCATTTTTTTTGGCCATCAGCCATTGGGAAAGTATCTGCAAATACTCATATTTAGGCTTGGGAGCTTTCCGCTTTTCAGCTGGAAGATTTCTGAAAGGTTTCTAAAAGGGCAAAGTGGAAAAGCATATGGATGTTTCCTAGACAAAACCTTGCTGTTTCCGTTCTTTAGGAAGTGCTGATGTTTTTACAATAAACAACCAGCCACACTCATTGAGAAATGGCACAAAACATCCTGGAATTGGTCACAGCCAACATTTTGACCTTGCTACAGTGACCAGCCAGAACTGTCTGGAAAGTTCTCAAGACTTGGGGAAAATGTGGCACCGTTCTACCCTCTCCCATCCAAAGCAGCACATGAACACACTGTACTTCTGGAGCAGATCTGGCCCTGGCTGCGTTGTGGGGCYGTAAATGCAGGCAGCACTGGTGAGGGGGACATGAGAAGAGACACTGCAGTRGAAAGCTGGCATTGACGGATGTTATTTTTTCCAAGTCCAATCTAGTTGGCTCCAAGGGACAAGTCTACACAAGGAACACTGCAACATGCTCAGGATTCCCAGGTACAGCATGGATTGAAATTCTGACTGAYGGCAGGGCACAACACCTTGGTGCTGCTACAGAGTGGATTTCCTTGAACTCATCCCRTTGATTTCACTTGAGCAGAATCCCAGGTTCCCAATTTGATTCCTTTTTCTGGTTGCACACTTACTTACGACAGACAAATATCCACACAGAGCAGGTGTATCACCCCCAGCAGACCCTCTGGGAGTTTACACGAGCATCACTGGAGTTCAGGCACCTTCTGTCCTTGCTCCTCTGCCCCGAGTGGTCCTCAAGACCACTTGGCCGACACAAGCTGAACTGGCAACAAAAACTGAAAATAAGCTCAGATCAACCCTGAGTTACCACAGTCATGACATGACATCAACCTCAAAACAGACACTTGTGCTCCTGACACGGTCTGGAGCCCAGCAAGGCTCCCTTGAGAGGCCCAAGCTGCTGTTCATGTCTAATCTCTGCCTCAGTGGGGAATTTCCTCCCTGCACTTCAGGTGGAACAGTATTTTAAGCAAAGCCATTGCAGCCTGATGACTGAAGAGGCAGTTTAAGGGAAGGCATTCAGTAGCTGGAAATAAAGCTCCATTATGCTATATTAAATATTAAGCTCCCTGTTGCAAGCCAGACAATTGCATACTGAATTAATAATGCTATTTATTCCATTTCAAATGGATCACACTTAATTGTCACAACATTTTAAGTCAGAAGTGGCATCAAGAGCTTGGCTTTGAGAGTATCTTACAGAAAGCAGAGGTGGACTGAGCGGCTGGAAGCGAGAAGAGTGTGAATATGTGAAATAGAGCAGATCAGGTTAACGATAAAGTTATATGGTCTCAATTGTTCATTTGGGTACTAACGCTCCAGCAACAGTCTGCACTAGGAAAGTACAAGCAAGTCCCTAAAGAGCAGCTTGGGTTGGAACTTATGCAGGATCTGGAGGTTTAACTTAAAAGTCAAAACRTTTATTATTTTTAGAGAAAGAAAAATCGACCAAAACAATAAAACGTCACAGAGAAATCTCAAGTTCCCTTTTTTTGGCAAAAAGGGGAAATAATAAAAAAGTCTCTGAAGATGAAAAATATGCCAATACAGTTTTCTAAAAGCAAGAATAAAGAAAAAGTCAGTTATTTTTCTAAACTGAATACTGAAAACGAGAGAATTTTACAGATATAGAGTAGGAAATCTAAGCTACATCCCAGGCTCTCCTTGTTTCATTTTTCTGCTTCCTAGTTTTGGGATCCACTACTGCCATCTTTTACAGCCATGAAGAAGAAACGGCTCCCCAGGCACGATGCAAGGATCAGCATTCCCCTATCTTGCAGCACAAACAGCCCATCACTGCCTAAACACATTTCTCAAACCTAATCACCTCCAAGTGGAGGAGGTTTCTCCAGATGAAGAAAGAAATAGCTGATCTGCCATTTCCTTTCACTCCRATTTTCACAGAATAATTTCATTGACTTCATAGGAGCCTATCTGGATTTACACCTGTGTAAAAATAAAGCAACCCCCCTCCCACACAAACTCTTTGTGTGGAAAATCAAGTTCATAAATGTGTTTTGYATCTCCGTGAACCTCCCCATCTCCAAAGGTGAACAGCTGTTGCCATAAATCAGACAGTCTGAAATGGCCTAAGAGCTTCATCCAGACGATCTGTTTAAAATATACAAAGGCAACATTCTGGAAATAAAAATCTACCCCCATGTCCTCTGGGACACCTTCTGTTGGAGAAAGTCTCAGAATTCAGTGCTATAATTAGTTCACAGAAATGCTCTTTCAGGAGCACCACGATACCCTGGAGTCGCATCATGTTGAAACGGGCTGCGGGATGACTTAAGGGATTCTGCACATCTGGCAGCTTGGTACGTACTGCATGGGAGACATCTAGTGTCTTTCCAACTGCTCCGGGGGTGTAGCTGTGCTATTAGCTGGAAGGGCTGTGTCTGGTCCAGTTCCCATCAGCCGTTCTCTCTACTTGAGCAGRAAACACTTGCTGAAGTGTGGAAACAGCTGGCAGAGTTGGCTGGGGCTTGSATTAACAAGACACACTTGTTTCTGACCACAGGCTGGTCTTTAAGTTCCGAAYGCAACTGCCAAGGGCTCTTCATGGCTTTTAGGAGGAGACCACGTCACCCAAGATGGGCAAGTTGGCCGCGTTATGAACTGGCTCTAGAGCACGACAGTTTCCGTCAGGAGGGACGGAGTGTTACATAAGCAGAGAGCAGGATGAGCAGCCCCGTTTTACCAAAGGGAAAATCGAGACACAAGAAGATTAAATTATTGGCCTCAAGTGACTGTGCAGCCTGGGAAAGRCCAGGAAGGGAATCAGACCTTCCTTCCCTAGGGTATGGCTGTAACTCGGGCAGGCCAACAGGCAGCTCCCAGCTCTGAGAGTACTTAGCACTTGTCTTCTGCTGTCACTTATGCGCCTGAGGTCCCAAGGGACAAAACAGGCAGTGAGCCCTGCACCAACCAGTGCACTCTCACATATCCCCACTGGGGCACTTCAGCAAGACCACCGCCTAGTCCTAAAGGGCCAATGAGGCTATTGAAGGTGGCACCACAGTGTGAAGCTTTGTCTTTCATCTTTCTAAAGGTGCTGGAGCATAACATGAACATGGTAAAAACAACAGAACACAGACAGAGCTCTGCCGTGAACTTCCAGACAGTCAGAGAGTAACAAGCTCAGCTCCTTCCATTCAGCTCCATATGTTCTTTGAAACCATGAAAAGGAACTTTATGATATGCTGGAAAGGATGAAGTATTAGCTATCAAAAACTAGACTGAAGCAAGCAAGAGCCTGGATTATTTTCTCTTTGATGTATRCTTATGTAAATTCAAATAAAGAAGTTTCAATACAAGCTTTCTTCAATTCTAGCAGAGCTTATTAAATCTAAGTGTGACAAGCTAGGCTCCACATAACACCAGGAACTCCCCAGTCTGCCTTCCTGCTTAATGGGATATTCTATGCTCAYACATACCATAGCTTTTCATTTAAGGAGTTTAATTTACAAATACTTTTTACCTTTTGCAACACCCCTCTGAGTAGGACAGCATTAAAAGTCCCCCTTATTCAACAGTAATCCATCAAAGTGTAGAGGGGCAACCAGATCATGCACTGAAAAAACACAGCACAGCTTGGAATCCTCCTTCCTTGTCCCTTCTCGGGCATCACTCAAACACACTTTCCATGACTAGCAGAGTCTCTCCAATGTTGGCCCAAATGCTCTGAACACAAATACACAGAACGAGCTCTGTAGAAAGCAGTGATGAACCTTGCCCAGATGAAGCCAAGACAAAGCCAGCACCCATCACTCTTTTTGTACTTCCTCCTACTGAATGTGCACCGCTCTCTACCACACAACTTTGTCAGACGTTTATGTGTCACTTAACAGAGCCAAATGTCTCCTACAGGAGGAAGAGCTACTACTAAAATATCTTCAGTCAGTCACATATTTTCTCAGACACCATAAAGCAGATCGTATGCTYGCATGCACTTCTGACTCCCCCAGGAGGAAGCGACAATTCCTTTCCAAAGGAATGACAACCCATTACTCATACTCTTATCTTCTTAACTGATCAAGTCAGTTATTTGTGTTGCTTTCAAAGCATTTTAAGAACACAACTTTCTCCTTTCTATACGCCCTGAAATGGAGCCTGATTAAGTCCAGTCCTTAGGACTGCTGGGATCAAGAGAAGGTGGACTAGTCCCATCAGTGCCAAAAACTGCAAAAACTCCAGGAGCAGAGCCAGCTGCAGGGCACCAACTCCTCTCTGCTGGGCTGTTGGACACTAGCTACCCTCTTCCAAGCACTAAGAGGCCCTTCAGCTTTTAAATCAGGGCTTGAAAACAAGTACCTAAAACTAACGTTCCCTTCAYATCCCAGGCTTTAAAGAACATACAGCCAATTACCTTCCCTACAGGAATCCACAGCTTCGCACATGAAGGCCAGGAGCTGTTGTCCCCAGGGTGCAGCAGAGCAGACAGCAATCCTTTCTTTGCTGATGCCAGGCGCTTCAGATGAGACAGACTTAAGTGAGGGACTGGTTGAAGGCCCTCTGCTACATTACTGCATGCTCAAACCAAGCTGTGCTTCTATTTTTCTATATGCTCTTTACATATATTCAGTATAATTATACACACAAAGAAGCCCCCCTCCTTCCCTGATAGAAGAGAACACCCCCATCTTTGTCCTAGAACTGCCACTGTTTGAGAGATGGTCTTAAGAGGCCATGGTTAAGTAAAATGGACCCAGCTGTGCTCATTCAAGGTCAACAGCACCTGGGAACCATTACAGAAACTCCTACCTTGTCTCTGCCTGGGTTTTGCAGTGAGGTTGTCCTCCTCCTTGCTGCAGGAAGGACAGAATGTGAAGCCCAAGGTGCCAAGGGCAGATCATACCTGCAGTAAATGGTTCTCACTGCAGCAACGAGAGCTAGGAGCAAACCTTGCCCTTGCATTCCTGTTACAAGCTTGTTCCTGAAACGCTCTGCTCACAGTTTTAGAGGGATAAACTGAAAAATGCAACCCTCCATGTAAATAAAGGGATTTGTCATAAAACTAACAGATCCTGCTTTTAAGTAGTTCCCAAGAATAGGAAGTGACAATGAGGTGCCTAAGAAAAAACTTTCCCACTGCTTGATTAAAAAAAAAAAAAAATCCGAGGCCAATAATTTCACAGCTGTGATCAATACAGGCACTGAAAGAAAACAGGGACCTGGAAGACTCTGTGTACGGTCTAAACAAGGAGAATAAAGACAACAAAATGCAACTAGGATTTTTCTTTTTTAGAGATCTGTGTCCTACCTTCAATTATCAGCCTAAAGATAATGTATGGGAATGGTTATGGACAGGCAGTTCTGTGGGAACCTTGGACATCCCTGGATACACCTGATTTACTGCCCGTTGGACAGGCTTGTTCATCCTCTGTTCCCATAAACCACTCAGGTGTCACTCTCGTTGGCTGTCCCATTCCTGTAAAAGGTGACTTGGGTCTCTTTTTCAAGCATCTGCAGAGATGTTTTATAGTCCTGTTGTGCTCAAGAGGCCGGAGCAGGGCAATGGGAGCCTGTGATCGCGGTGCTGCAGCTCAGGGAGTCGGCAGTTCTGCTGAGGCAGGGGTGAGTCCGCAGCACCTCTCACAGTCACCTCCAACGCTCTCCTGCAGGGACACGCTGCCTTTCCTGCCATTTCCCTGGGAACTTTCCCTGCTGGTGACTGCAAGGTGGCTGCTGCCTTAAGAGCAACGTTCTCAAAAACAGTTTGATGTTGTGGTGGTCAGAGAGAGACCTCAATTCACGAGGAAGGACCCTGACCACTTGTATCCCACCCTGTGTCCCCTCACTGGCACYAGGGCAACTGCAGCAGGGCTGAAGGTGGATCCTCCATCTGGGCRAAAACAAGGCTTCCTTCAAGCCCTCTTTTATGCACTCCACTCAGCTGGGTCGAGTGTATCGATTCAATCAGCTATTTYCTTAACTATAAAACCAGATGTGCGCCGTCACGGCCCATCTACAGGGACTGAATCAAAGCCATTTAGAAAATGCAGAATCAAAATAAAAAATCCCAGRAAGGCTGAGATATGCTGATGCTTGGAGCTCTCAGAGTTTCCTAGGTAAACTGCTTTTCTTTTGAGTCCCATTTATTTTTGTTACCTCCAAAGAAATGCTGTTTTAGCCACACTTCTTGGAAACAGTGTTGAGATCTAATGGGTTGTTACYGATGTGAGTTCCCAGAGGACAGGCTGGGGAAGGGAGGGAAGGGAGCAGCATCTTTGCTTCTGGGCATCAGCGACGTCTGCCAGCAATGTGGTGCAGAACGTGTCACTCTTTGCTGAAGCAATTAATTACACTGGTCCCTATAGGGGAGAAGTATTCAGCTAAAAGCACACTGCAACCCTGTGCACTTGGGCTAGCTTCTGGGGGGATAAGTGAATTAGGGAGGATGCAGTGCTCAGTTTTTCTCGGCGTTTTTCTTCTCACACTCCCCTCTTGTTTCCCCCTCTACTTCTTACAGACGCTGTCACCAGAGGCAATCCAGTGCAGTTCCTCTTTGTAAAGAAGCAGGTTGAAAATGTAATCTAGCTTATGTTCAGCTTTAAGAAGTGGTCACCAGGTCTCCAGCTCATCTGATCCACAGGGGAGCACAGGGAGCAGGGAAAGGGAAGGATCTCTGCCATAGGACCACGATGGATCCTCCATCCGCTGGGCTTTCTTCCACCACAAAGGTTGTTGCAGCTGCTGCAAGGGCAGTCAGCAGAGCCTGCCCACATCCTGATCTTGCTGTGATGGAGAAGCAGTCACAGCAGTGAGTGAACATCAGGGCCACTACGTCTGAACGTGCAGCTACGCCGAGAAAGAGAGGACTTTGCAAGGGCACGGGATGGGGTTTGCTGGCTGAGGGATTCTTTAAGCAATGCAGCCAAAACGTTGTGCATGCCAGATTGTAGACATTCCTGGGAAAGCTTTCCAGAATGTAAATAAACTTGGGACACATGTACAAGACATCATACAACCTGGCCTGCAGACAGTGCATGGCATTGCCTTTGTGCACACAGAGCCTGGAGGCATCTCTCCAAGCCCAGTTGTTCCCTTCAGCTCCAGTATCCACACGTGCTGATCAATTCTTGCAGAGTTGTGTTGTCCCTTGATTGACATCACAAGATGGGATAGGGAGGAAACACCTCAAATATCAAAAATAGGGAGGAAATAAGAGTGGGGACTGGGTTGTTGTACTTGGAAAGGCCTGGCTGGGCTGCTGGGTCTCTGAGGTGGCCCAGGCGAGATCACAAGGGCGAGTGACAAGTGCGTCACTGCGCACCGAAGCAGTAGCTTAGAAAACAGATGATTCAAGTTCAGGAACTGCTGAATAGCACTCAGGCGAGCCATACCCCAATGCTTACTTAAATAATACCTGTCCAATGTATACACCAGCTTTATGTCCAGTCTTGGCATATTTTAACATTGCTTGAAGGGGAGAAAAAAACAAAAAAAGCAACCCCCCAAAAATGATGGCAAATACAGCATTGCATGCATCAAACACTCCAGAAAGACCCACTGTAAACACATGTCTAATAGCTGAGCACTTTCAGTCCCWGTGGAAAGATTGCTGCCATATAGATGTGGTTTCCTCTGGTGCAAGGTGATACTGCAGACCCCACAAGCRTCAGTGGGGGTCTTTTATTGATACAGTGATAATGCCTTCGTGTAATTGAGCGCTGCTAATTAAAACCAAAAGCCAGAGAATATTTTCCAAAGCAGGCTTGCTGTTTTTCCCCCCTTAAAAGAGAGTCTTCTGACATCTAAAGAGTGGAGCTCTGTGTGGACATGCTCACACACATAAATCAGTCCAGAGGCAGCCTGTGCCCCTGTCATAGCTGTCATAGTCTCAGAAAGAAATAAGTTGACAGGAACAACAAACTCTAGAAACACATACAGCCAAATGCTGGATTTTAAAGCAGAAAAATGTCATATGTACTGTTCTATTCCTGACCTGTATTTTACACTGTACTATTTTGTGTGTTGTTCTTTCTCTTCCCCAGAGCAGACAGAAACCAGATCTTAAAACATTCACAATGAATTTTCAAATCAATAACATGTGAGACTTGGTCTAAAAGGTAAAGTTGTTGTAAAAATCAATGTCAGAGGGAATGCTTTGCCAATTCAATTATACATGTTCCTCTCAAACTAAAAAGCAAAAAAAGAAAAAAAAGATGTGGGCTTATTTCAAGCTCCRTAACTGTTCCTTGGACTCACATCCCGATTTTGTGAATATTCTCAGGACTTCTTATTCCAGCTCCCCTCAAGGGGTCATAATTAACTCTAAATAGGGTTACCTTCTTTCAGAAACAGCTTAATTTCAAGCACTGTTTCTGCCTATGATCACTATTTTTAAATAATGCATCCATTAGACAGCAGGAAAGCTTCCCAGAAATAGGAACCATACATCCAAACTTTAACAAAACTAAGTGTGATTAGGCATGGCAGCTGTCTAGAAAATATTTAGCAATTTCACTGAATTTTGGACAAAATATGAACAATGGTACCTATTCCAGTAAGTGTAGAACCAGAAATGCTCCCATTATTACCCTCTGCTTCTCCAGGCGAGTTGCAGTTAGAAGCTTGACTCTGAAGGAAAAGAAAACAGCAAATAAAAGCATAAACAGCTGTGCTGTTGCTGGCTTAGCTGGAGATGCCAAGGAGTTGGAGAATCACCCACGCAGAGAGATGCAGAATAAACCACCCAGTGTAAATGCTGACCCCAGGCCCCTGGGCGAAGGCCCAAATGGCACAGCAAAAGCCTCACAGAGCTGTGGGGTCACTAAGSTGCAGTGGGGACAAAATTTCTTATTGAAAATAGTCTCCTTCTCTGTCCTATCACCTGCAGCCGCCAACATCTCCCAAGCTGCAAGTGGAATATTCACGTGCCTGGCGTTTGCTACATGCAATGCCTTTCTGGACCTGCCACTGCCTCCATGACATGGGAATTTCCATGCGTTAGGAATAACGCTGGCGGTGCCCCAGTCTCTGCTGTGGTACAATGTTCTTACAGCTGAAAGAAAATATCTGCAAAGTAAATACCAAGACCACTGATTTAGGTGCAAAGCCAAACTCTGATCGACCCTGGCCTTTTTCCTACGACAGAAATCTCTCATAAATATGCAGCAAATACAAAATCAGTAACAGAAACATTCTGGAAATCTGTACTTGGTTAACTTGAAACTAAACCACGCCAGGAATTTGAGTAAGCTTTTGCTTACAGACTATCATTATTGGCACTCGATCAGATACAGATAAGTCAGGTTTCAAGCTTGTAAAGAGAACAATGCAAAAGGCATTAGAATAGATTAATTTCACATGTTTCATTTCTGGACAGGTAGTTTTTTTGATTAATATAAGTAACATCAATATAAATTTGTGTTAAAATGGCACTGTAATTTATAAGAAAAAAATTAAAGCTCCCAGTCAATAAGTTTTTGACACGTTTAGAAGCATATTTGGAATACTGTATCAAATAAGATTCTGAACTTGAACATATTTTTATTCCTGTTTCAACCAGATACTTGTTTATACTTCTTTCTTTGAACCTCAACAGG